TGCCAGAGCTCTCGCTAGGCGTCGTGAGGGAGGATCGGCGGTGGGGTTCAGGCCGTGGACCCTGCCGTTTGAAGTGGTGGCAGGGGCGTACTGGTGTTGTAACTTGCGGTGGGGTGAGTATGCATGGAAGCACTTTGCGAGGGCGGTGTTGGGTGTCTGGGAGCTGATTCAGATCCTGGAGTATTTTGTCTTGAAGGATCCCATAGAGTCTGAGAGCGAGGAGGAGGAGGATGTGACGGAGAAGGTCAGGAAACGTAGCAAGGAGGCGGAGGTGGAGAGGATATCAAGGTGACTTCAGTACAACGACGACCATCTGACCTCTTGGAATCACGTTTCCCCTGGGATGCCTCTGGAGTTCCTCGGGGACTCACTGGTGGTGTGTAACTGGATCAACGGTCTATTTCAGTGTTCGACGGACGTGTCTGCGACGACGATTGCTGCAATGCTGCAATTCAGAACGTATTGTGTGAATTTGCAATGTCCATACCTGTGCAGTTGAGAGCCCCATCCCATGGGTGTGATCTTGTCCAATGGTTGTACCGTGAAGGTAACTCGCGAGCTGATAATCAGACATGGCTGGCCCGCAGGGGCCAGAGTCACTACGCATTGGACCCGCGTATCTATACTACGGCAAGTGAGACCATCAGAGGAATCCGCGGTTACTTTGACGGTGGCCGCAGTGCCGAAGGCTCTGGCGGAGGCTTGGTTCTTGATTTGTTGTGCAACTTACTCCTCCTCCTCACCTCCAATGCCTTTCAGTTAGCCCACCTGCCTCCTACTGGTGGTGTGGTGCCGTCTCTGAAACCTTTTCTCTGGCGCCTGCCTGTGCGATCGCTCAAGCCGAGAGTCATGTGGCTTGCGCCATTCCGCCGACCCGTGCAAGAGACAGAGAGCACTGCACGATGAAAGGATTTTGTGAGGGCATCTTGGCGCTTCTGGGGGGCTTCCTGGAGGCCCGTCGGAGATTTCGTGGGGCCTCGCGGGGGCGCCTTGGAGGCCCTTGGGCAGGTCATGGGGACATTTTGGCGGGACAGGCTACCACTGTGAAGTCGTTGAGCAACCTCTTGGGCCCTTTTTTGGGTCCTCGTGGGCCGTTCGGAGGGCCCTCGTGGGCAGTCCTGGGGCCCTGTTGGGCTGTCTTGGGTTGGTTTGGGGGGTCTTCGGGGCCGTCTTGGGGCATTCCTGTGGGGCCCTCAAGCCGTTGTGAACTCTGGGAAGATGAGAGAATCGAGTTTGCTAAAACTGCACGTTTCCCTGAAGAAGCGTACGAGTTTTGCCTTTCTCGGGCTGTCCTAGTCGCCTGGGGGGCCACGTCGGACCGCCCAGGGGCCACCTCGACGGTCTTGTACTGCTTTCGAGTTCTAATGGGCCCGTCCTGGGGCGGTCTGGTTCCGGAAGAAGCGCTGGGGAGCTTGTCGGCTCCCGCGCCCCGGTCCTCTCATGCGATTTTCAGCGCCAGGGGGGGGGGGGCGGGGGGGGCGGCCAGTTATCCCGCGCGCCTTTCGGCACGCGGGGGCGCTTGGATGCCATGATAATTGACAATGAAGTGCGAGCGCTGCGGGCGGAGGTTGCTTGTAGAGGCGTTCACGAAGTGGGGCAGGATAGGCCGGCGTTCTGCAAGGAGTGCACGGACGAGATGAAACAGCGCCAGCGAAAAATTGTGCCCAACGTGCACGGGGTGGGCAACGAGAGCGGGGGGTGACGAGGCGGCTCGAAATGATAGCGGTCGGAGCGCGGACGGCGCGGTCGACGACGGCGAGACGAATGGATTCGGACAATGTGCTGCGCGACGTGCAGCCATGTCAAAGCCCAGCAGAAGTCGAGAAGCGGCAGCGCGAAATGGAACGAGAGCGTGGGCGCTGTGCGATGTTCGAACGATACATGCCCGTCGCTGTACGACGAACAGGCGGAGATGTCGGAAGCTCAGGAGAACGCGCAACACAGCGGGGCAGAGGTTGTGTCGGGAGTGCGCGGAGGGTCGAGGGAAGGCGGTGCTGCGGAGGAATTACGAAGCAGAGAATCGAACACGGATAGCAGAGGCGGATGCGGAGCCGCTGACGTGCTGTGCGCCCAGTTGCGGGGTGTCTTTCTGGGTGGTCGGCCTTTTAACTAGGAGTCATGTGAAACCACCAGGCGACGACAAAAAAGAAAGGGTGGTGTGCGCGCACTGTCACCATAATGACGTCAGCGCGAAGGGAGTTGCCAACACGGCGAAGCGGTCGAAGAGGCTGCTGACGTGTGCAGCGGGAACGAAGCAGTTCGCTCGGCAGCAGCGCATCAGCGACAGGCAAGAGAGTGATCACTTCACGAGGAAGGGTAAAGTTGTATGCGCGGAGTACATTGTCGTCAGCTTCACGGCTCGGAATTCGCAAGCGTACGAGTGCTTCGGCTCTTGCAAGGGGAAGCTCCCGAAATTTCAGTTCGCGGATGGACCGCGCCTCGCGCGTGCCCGCCGAAATAGCACGCTGAGTTGCAAAGCCTGCGCGTGAGACCCGTGGCAGCGCTTGTGGCGCCGTGCGAGTGCGCGGTGCCGTCAGGAGGAACAGGAAGAGGAGGGGGTGCTGCAAAGGAAGGGAGTTTGTCGATGTTTCGGCGTGGAGGCCAAGGGGGGGGAAATCTTATGCAGGCGGTATACAGGCGGTGAGTCGAATTGCCGGGTATAACATTGTCGGTGCGGTCGAGCTCCGTGACAGTGTCTCGCAGCCTTCGGCCCATCCCGCCGCCGTGCCTGGGTTGTGAGTGTGAGGTATCGGGAATGTCCGTAGTCTTTTTTTCAGCCTCTTGGAGACCTTTGGGGCCTTTTGTGTGCCTTTTGGAGGCCTTTGGGCTTCCTGGGAGTCACTTCTGGCCTTTCTTGAGCCCGTCTTGGGGCGCTTGAGTGCGCTCTTGGGCGCCGTTGGGGCCGTCTTGGAGCTGTCTTGAGCCGTATTGAGGGAATCTCGGGGAACTTTTGGGCCGTCTTGGAGCGGTTTTGGGTGCCTCACGGGTGTTCGCCCACGCCGCGAAGGCCGAAACGCGTGTATGTGAAAAATCTACGATCCCCAAAGGAATTTGACGATTTCGGCTTCTTGGGGGCTTCTTGGGAAGCTTCGTGGAAGCCTCTTGGGGAGTCTTCGCGGGTTCTTGGGCGTCTTGGATCGATCATTCGGCGACATGGGGGTGTCTTGGGAGGCTTGCCGAATTGTCTTGGAGCTCCACTCGGGGCCTGCGGGTCCCGGACCGCCTCTCTCTGGTGAGTTCGGGGGTGGGTCGGATCCGACGAGGGGGGGGTCATATTGCCGGTTTGGGGTCCCAGGGGGGGCGTGTGTGTGGGGGGGGAACAATCTCACACGCCAAGGGACCCACAAGGGGTCGGCGGATTTTGCTGCAAAGTACCTGCTTCAGGGTGTCGTGGCGGTGCTGGAAGCCTCGCTGCCCCCCCCTCGCGCGTGGCTGTGACCCGAGCGGGCCTGGACTCAGGCCTGTGGCTTTGCGCAAAGCAAAAAAAACAAGGTTGACGCTTTACCGCCGGTGGAGGTTGAGGCGGAGGAGGAGGAAGAGCAGGAGGAGGAAGAGGAGGAGGAGGAGGATGAGGAGGAGGAGGAGGAGGAGGAGCAGCAGGAGCAGGAGCAGGAGGCGGAGGAGGAGAAGGAAGAGGAAGAAGAGGAGGGGGAGTGGGCAAGCTAGGTGCGCTCGCGTCATATCTGACGTCCTACCCCTCCCTCCCATCCCTTACCATGGCGCTGATTTTCTCTATGCGCGGACGCGTGTCGTAGCGGACCTGTGGCTCCGCGCGCGCGTGCGTAGTGGGTGGTGGTGCGCGTGCGTGCGTGCGTGCGTGTGTGCGTGGTTGTGGTGGTGGTGTGGTGGTGGTGGTGGTGGTGGTGGTGGTGTGGTGGTGGTGGTGGTGGTGTGTGGTGGTGGGTGGTGGTGGTGGGGTTGTTGGTTGGTGCGGGGTGTGCGGCGGGAGCACGATTCGGAACGATTCGGGAGCAAAAATGAGGCAGGCGCCTCAGCGAGAACAGAAATTGGAAAAAGGACGCAGGCGAAAACCCGTTTCCTGGGAATCCTGTGTTAAAAAAACAGTACGCGGTGGGGGGTCGGCCATCTTCGGGACGCCATCAGGGGAAGTGGGAGAGTATTTTCATATTGTGTAAGTGTAGAGGGATGGGGGAACGAGGAAAAGGGGGAGGCGGAGCAAGAGGAGGAGGAGGGGGCAACGGTGGAATTTTATTCGCAACGAGGGAACGGACGACGACAAAGAGGAAGGAGGCTGTCCAAGGCCGGGGCGCCCTGAAACGGCGAGGAGAGTGACTAGGAACGGTGGGGATACCTGATACATAATTGGGTTTTGGCGATGCAGGGGGGCGCTGGACATGCAGCAGTGACGATGGACAGCGACAGCGCAACACGGCTTTGGTCACCGCGCAAGGTCATTGCGAGGAGAGGGCACTCCGAGGGAGAGGAAATGGGCCACCCGCGCGTTTGTCCGCGCTGGGGCACGGCTGAGCTTAGGCAGGCTTCATCCACCCAGCAGCAGGGCTAGAGCTAAACGGTGTTTTTGTCGATTTTGTGGAGCGTTTCGTTTCGCAGCAAAGGCAGGACGAAAACATAACGAAGGAAAACGAACACAACACGAAAATGAAAAAGACTGTTGAACTCGAGCCTTGTCCAGCTGTCCCTTTTCTCTTTTCCCTGCTCCCCTCTCCTTCCCCTCTCCTCCCTCCTTCCCCTATGGACCGTGGGAGACGCGAGAGAGCCAGAACGCGCGGGTCTGGTGATCGTATTCTTATTCCTTGTTTTGCCGATCGGCGCGGGCCCTCGCACCCCCCGTCCCCCCTCCCTTGAGTAGATCTTGGCTGTTTTTGGCGCCAATTTCAAGCAGGTGGGGTCTCTCCCCCATATACGCGCGGTTCCGAACAGTCGCACTCAACGCGGGTCCAGAGCCAGACCCTTTCCCTTCCTGCCGCCCAACGTCGAAACGCCGAGTGGGAAAACGTCGACCTGCAGCGGCACGCCTGAAGCCGTCGTGCCTCGAATGGCGGGTGTGCCACGCGCCAGGAAGCGCGGCCCGTGTCCCCTGTGTCTGTGCCCCGCCCCGCCCGGCGGCGGCCGCGATGGACCGGGACGTGTCATGGGTTGCCCAGATGCAGGAGGAGTCGGCGCCTGGGTGCCAGGACGAGCACGTCCGTCACCGCGCGGATACAATCTATCGAGGGCGCCTCCGGCGGGTCACCGCTGCTCCGTGGTAGTGGCCTTGGGGCACGCCTGCTTCGGGTGGTCAGAGCTTCAGTAAATGTTCGGCAGGGCTCCGTGGGAATAGGAGTAGAAACATATGACGCGTCCACTCGCGTGAACACCTACGATATGTGATTTCGAATTGCAGAGATTTGATCCCAACTCGGATCGACCCTTGATCAGAATTGTTGCAAGACCGTGGCCCACTCCTTGAGCTCTGCTAGGATCTTTGGAGGTGCCCTTGAGGTTGTTGGTGGACGGTTGCGCGTCCTGGAGGCAATCTTGGACTTTTGGACCGCCTCGGAGGTGACCTTGGGTACTCATTCGGGACATCTTGAGCGCTGTTGGAAGCCATCTTGAACCGTCTTGAGCCGTGTGGCGATCTTGGCGATGGCCGACGTTTGACAGTAGGGCGCGGTGGCAGAGGCCGTCTCAGATACCAACTTCGCTGAAAGGCTTCGGAGGGATGCCTCTCTCTCTCTCTCTCTATATATATATATATGCAATTTAGGATGTTCTGACGCGTCTCAGCCGCTTGTGGAAAGACCATGCGGACGGCAATATCCGCGTCGGCGGCCTGTGCCTTCTCCTACTTACCCTCCACCTCCCCCTCCTCCCCTCGCGGAGCGTCCTTGGGAAGTCGCTGAAACAAACAGTCTGCGATCATCATTTTTAACATTTCCGGGGCAATCTGGAGCTCTTTTTAAGGCCATCTTTGCGGCCACTTTGTGACCTCGGGGTCCATCCGAGGGCATCTTGGAAGTCCCCAGGGCTGTCGTGACAGCCTTGAGTGCCACCCTGGGGGGCGCCCTGGGGCTTACCAGGGGCATCTTTGCCTATAATGAGGGGCATTTTTGGCTCCTTTGGTGCCCATGTTTTGGGATTCTCTCGAGGCTTTCTTTGGGGTTTTCGGGTCCTCGTTGGGCCTTGGGGCCAACCTGGGGCCATGTGAAGGTCCCTGAGGTCTGATTGCAACGCGGGACGGCAATAATGACAAGACTGTTGAACACCACATGCGAACTCTCTGAACAAACTAACTCTGGGTGGGAGTTTAGTCGAGGGGTGGGTGATTAGCCTTCCGACTGAGCTTGCCCAATCCCACCCGCCTCCATCCTCCTCCCACTCCCCCTCCTCCTCTTCCTCCGACCCCCCCTCCACCCGTGCCGACAGCACGTGCCCAGCCCCCCCAGCGGATCCACGCGGGGGTCGATTCGTGCCCCATCCAGAGTAAGGGTCTTGATGATTTCGGCCTCGGGGGAGGTCGGCGTGTCAGAGGCCCCCCCGCCCCAGGATCTGCCTGCCTCCCCTTTGCGATGAGATCCTTCCAGGAAGCCGGGGCTGGAGCACCCTCTGCTGCGGCGCGGCCGACAATCCATGCCTCCGGCCTCTGCTGTCAATCCCCCTCGAGATTGTTCTAACAGAGTCGAGCCCAAGTGGGGGGTCCTTGCCGTAATCATCTTCGCCAGCATCGTCGTCGTCGTCGTCGTCGTCGTCGTCGTCTTCGTCTTTGTCCTCGTCAGTCGTCTCGTCCTCGTCGTCGGCATCGTCGTCGTCGTCGTCGTCTTTGTCCTCGTCAGTCGTCTCGTCCTCGTCTTTGTCCTCGCTGGTCGTATCGCGTTCGAACTACCTTTCTTCCCTCTGGTTGCATCCGGGGCCGTCTTCGGGTCTTTTGGGGCCCATGGTGGGCCTCTGTCTGGGCGCCGCTGGGCTCGGCTTGGGGCCGTCTCGGTTTACCTCAGGATCCTCTGAGCTCCTAGGCCGTCTTGGGACCTTGGTGGGTTCCCTTCAGACGTCTGCGGGGATGTTTAGAGTCCCAGATTCCAATCTACTTGAAGCGCCTTCCTACTTCAGTGATCGAGTGGTTTCACCTCTTCCGTCCTCTTTAGGGGGCGGGCTGACGCGCAATCTACTTTCAACGCCTTCCTGCTTCATGTTTCTACCTACTTCTTCTGACCGATGGGTAAGACGTCTTCGGGGATTTGTTCAGACATGTACTGGGCTGTGTGGGGAGTCTCTTAGTCAAAACGATTGCATCGTAGCAGTCGTCCAAGAAGACATGTGTTTTTGCTCTAGGAAGCATCCCTGGGGCCTGATGGGGATGTTTTGAGTCCTGGGTGGGCCATGCGAGGGTCGTCATTGAGCGTTTGGATGGCTTGTGAAGACGTCTTGAGCTGTTCGAGGGCACCTCGCGGGGCTGGCAGGGTGAGACAACAGGTTTCTGTCGGCTTCATGTCGCGAACCTAGAATCCTGATGCCCCCCCCCTCCCCATGATAATTCTCCCGTCCCCGGGGGGCGGGGGAGTGCTCCAGGTCCAGCATCGTGGCTCCTCGCAGCCCGGTGGCCCCGCAGAGGGGGGACGGCGGATTTGCTACTCATGGCCGGTCGAATTATCTCCATGCAAACAGGGTTCGCTATGCTGGAGTCGGCCTTCGCTCGGCCCATGAATTCGGCCAACATTATGATGAAGAATCTCTTCGATTTATTCTTGGGGGCACTCGCATTTTATTGTTTCGGCTACGAGGTAGCCTTCGGGGAGCAGTCCCAACTTGTTGGAGACAGCCAGTTTGATTTTGCGTTGTGGTTTATTCATTTTTCCTACGCAACGACCGCTGCAACAATCACCAGCGGGGCTCTGTCAGGCCGGGTTGCCTTCATGCCGTATTTGTTATTGTCCATCGTGACAACGGGCATCATTTACCCGGTGGTCGTTCGGTGGACGTGGGGTGGAGGTTGGCTAGGTGAGTGGGGCTTCGTTGACTTTGCGGGTTCTGCTGTTGTGCACATGGTGGGTGCAGTCAGCGCCTTGGTTGCTGTTTGCAAATGTGGCCCCCGAATCGGGAAGTATCCGCAGTATCGGCCTTGGAAAGGACTTTCGCGTAAGGTGTGGGTCGAGCACAACAAGCCAGATTATTATGAGATGCCAATGGTAAGTGCCGAGCGAGCCATTTATTCCCGAATCAAAATGGTAAACAACCCAACGCAGCTCCTTTTCGGCATTTTCCTTCTAATTACTGGCTTCCTCGCGTTCAATCCCGCGTCCACTTTCTCCACCACCGCCAGCTCTGATTTGGTGGCCGCGAAGAGCACAGTAGTTACACTTCTCAGTGCCTCTGGAGGATCACTGGCATGTTTCGCGGCTTCCTTAGTCCGCACGCGCACACTGATCGTAAGCGTACCAGACCTGACGACTGCAGTGCTAGGCAGCATGGTGGCAAGCTGCGCGTGCTGCGACGTCGTGTCGCCGCTGGTTGGGGTCGGAGTGGGTTTTGTGGCTGCATGTCTGGCTCTTTGGTGCCAGTGGTGGCTCAACGAGCACCAGATCGACGACGTTGTGGGCGCGGTGGCTGCCCATGGCCCGCCGGGTATCTGGGGAGTGGTCAGCGTTTCGCTGTGGGCGCAGCCAGGCTGCCACAGCTCGTTGCGCGGCTTGGCTTTCGGTGGTGGAACGCAGGCTTTGAAGCATCTGGGCATACAGGTCACGGGCATCGTGGCGCTCATCGGGTTTGTGGCAGTTGCCACCTACTTGACCGTGGTCAGTATCGACGTGATGATCGGCTTCCGCAGCAGCCGTGCGTCCGAGCTCATCGGGCTCGACTTCATGGAGCACCGCTTCGACGATGGCAGCTTTGGCACAGACCCAAACAAGGTCACGGTGATCTCCGAGTCGGCAATGCGAGATTGTCTGGCACGGCGCGTGGTCCGAAATCTGTCCCCCATGAAGAGCTACATAACCTACCATTCCCCGTCAAAGCATAACCATTCACCATCAAAAACACACGAGCACAACCATGCCACATCAAAGGCTTCCGAGCATGGCCAGTCGGCGGACAAGATTCCGCCGAAGGCTCCCGCCGCTGAGCCAGTGGCAGACCATACGCTCGAGAGGATCCCCGACGAACCTGGAACTGGTCAGCCGAGCGTGGCTCCCGCTGCCGGCGCTCGCAGCAGCACGTCAGAGGTGCTGGACAGCAGTAATCTAGCTTCTGAGGAGGCGCTGGCGCACGAAGTCGCCGCTCTGCGGGCCACCGTGGCAGCTCTCGGGGAGCAGTTGAGCATCTTGAGAGCAGCTGCTGGCGCTGCTCCTAGGCGTCCGAGCGAGTCAGGCGCTTTTGGTGGTGTTGGCGAGTTCGCCGAAATGAGCCGTATGGCCTCATTACGCGATATGTTTGCCGAGGCAAGCAGCCAGAGGTGAGCCCAACCCTATCTTTTGGTTCTCTTTCGCCTCGCACGGCTGCTTTCCCTTCACAGCTGAGTCGCAGCATAATGTTCTCTGACGAGACAGACAGAAGAGGACAGATACAGAAGAGACGGGGTGGGTCTTCTGTCCGGAGAGTTTTTTCACACCCTGCTCGGGGCAAGACTGCCCCGTACGGTTTTGCGCACCGAGTATTCCCCCAAAACTGCTTGCACTGACGGGCTCCTACTTCCTTGGGAAGGAGTTGGACATGTTGCTGCGATTTTCGCGTTCTCGCCTTGGTGGTCTGTGGGTGTGATTTATTGCTTGTGCCCTATTGTCTTTGATGGTTTGGAGTTTCGTTCCTGCCCTGGTGCTCTACGGGCGATTCTCCATAGCTGGTGCCTTAAGATGCCTTCAAGGGTTGCGCTCTCGCCCGATTCCTCGACGAACGGTGGTCTATCCTTCCTGCCGTGGTGCTTTATGTGTGGTGATCTATGGTTAGTGGCCTAGATGCCTTCGATCGTTGCGATTTTCAAGTCCATACCCTACTGCTTTGTGGGTGGGGCTCTATAGCTGGTGCCCTGCGATGCATTTGAGCGATGCAGTTTCCGCTTTCCCTGATGCTGTAAGGTCAGTTAGTGCTCTGTGGCTGGTATCATGTGGTGTCTTTGCTAGTTGCGACTTTCGAGTTCTTGCCCAGGTGATCCATTGGCAGGTGCACCACGTAGAATGCGTCCAACAGACTGCGCCACGTAGATTACATAATGTACCATCATACTTGCACCGCAGATATTGCACCACGTAGACTCCACCACTTCGATAACACCATACACGCTTAGCTTTTCTTTAATACGGCGTTGTTCTCTTTTTCTGCCCCCGTGGGTTCTGGGGCGTCAGCCGGGGAGTTTCGAACAGTTTTTTTTTTTCCTCTGCAAGGCCTCCTCAAGGGAGGCCCAATGCCCTGGAGCACCAACACATTCTGAGGAGGGAGTACGTATGGAGATTTGTGGGGTAGTTTAAGATGATAGTGGCTTCAGGACGGCAGACGCGCGCACTGGTCTCAGGCGTAGCTGGTCCAAGTGAGACGCGTAATGGGTACGTTGTGGTTCTGTGTGGCTGGAGCCAGGGTTCGGAGTTTCGATGTATGTCTGTGTAATGCTCGATGTGTTTTTCGAGCAGATTCCAGCATCCGCATGTGATCTGTACTGCCATCTCAGCCGTCAGGAGCCAAACATGGTTGACGTTTCGGCAGCCCGCTGTCTATAATTGAATTCATGGTGTGTCGAGCACACCGAGGTGTGTGGAGCACACCTTCGCTGGTGCGGCGTGCGAGGGTTCACACATCCGCATGCGTCTGTACAGGCAGTTCACCTAAGAAGGCTGCCCACTTGCGATTTCTTCAGAGTTTGTCTTCTCTTCTCTCTTCCTCCTCTGAGCCCCTCGCTTTGCCAGTGCGTGCGGCTTTTGGACGCATGTGTCAGATCACCGTGTTTCTGCACATGTGCCACTGCGATGTCGACCAGAGCTTCGCCCCGGCTCCGCGGTTTTTGTCCTGGTGTAATGTCAGGGCTGATAATGACCGACTTTCGACAAATGCTGGCAATCTGAGCTGCCCATGGATGCAGCCGGTCGAAGCGCATGGTGGTTCGAGCTGAAAATGGCGCCAGCGGTCAAGACATCGTCACCATCGCAATGAGTCCGTCGCTTCAGACGTCGTTTCGATGCGTTCAGTGCCTCAGGTTTCCAGGGCTAGGGGCGGGTTTTGATGTCATCTGGGGCCTATGCTGAGAGGCCTCTAGGGACTTGGGGGCCTCTGGGCGCAGTTCCCTGAGAAACCCAGACGGCGGTGCTGTCGATGCTATTGTCTCGATGGCTGAAACATTGAACTTCACGCGTCTCGGGGCCTTCTTGGGATGTCTTGTGGCCTTCTTGGGCCGCAGTGGAACTCTCGCCGGTCCCTTACGGGCGCCTTTTGAACAATCTTTGGGCGCTCTTGGGAGCTTCTTTGGCCGTCTTGGATTGAAAAGGACCGCGTGCGAGAGAAACAAAGCTTTTGGCCTCTTGGAGCTCTCTGGGGCCGCCTTTGGACTTCTTGAATGTTCAGGCGTCGTCTTGAAGGCCTTCTGGGACCGTCGGAGCCCTCCGTAAGCCATCATTGAGCTATCTGGACCGAGACGACCCTCCAGGAATAATCGACGGAGGCCAGTGTACCTGGAAGACCAGTGATGACGATAAATGCGTGTGGTCCTCCTTCTGTTTTTCTTCCGTTCATTTTTTTTTTTTTTTTTTTTTTTTTTTTTTTTTTTTTTTTTTTTTAAAAATTTATTTTTGTTTATTTTTGTTTATTTTTGTTTTGTTTTGTTTTTTTTTGTTTTGTTTTTATTTTATTTTGTTTAATGATGTCTATGGCACCCTTTGCTTTTAATCAGCTTCGTTGGCCCGCCGCATGCTTGCTGTGTATTGCAATACGTACGCTTCGCATGTTCCCACCAGCCCATTCATATATTTTTTTTGGCAAGTGCGCTCTTGAGAGGCGAAGACCATGCGTGAAACAACCTGGACGGGCAACAGTTTAACTGGCATTCTAACTAAACTTGCACCCTTTGCCGTTATTTAACTTCGCTGGCCCGCCGCATGCTTGCTATGTATTGCAAGATGTACTCTTCGCATATTTCCACCAGTGCATTCATACATGTTTTTTTGTTGGGGGGGGGTGGGCAAGTGCTCTTGAGAGGCGAAGACAATGTGTGAAACAGACAGGACGAGCACCAGCTTAACCAAAAGTATAGCTAAACGTATAATTCCAAACCCTGCTTGGGTCATTGTGGGGGCTTCTTAGAGGCATCTTGAAACCGTCTTAGGGTTTTCTGGGGCCCGTTGTGGAAAGCTCTGGGGCTCTCTTCTCTCTTGCGGCTTTGTTTTTTCCCAACCCTCCCTAGGCTGGGTTCTCGTTTTGTTGACTCGAGCACTGTTCGCGCGTCTCCCTCCTCATCCTCCTCCTCCTCTCCACTCCTCCTGCCTCCTGCCTCCTGCCTCCTTGCCTCCCTGCGTACATTTCCTATTGAAGGGCTGCGAACTCGCGCCACTGTCGCCACCTCCGTGGGTTTCCGGGAGGCACACCGGAGTGCAGGGCAGCGGGGATCCCTTTGAGACCTCGCGGCGCCCTCGGGGGCTGTGAATTGTGCAACTGTCGTCACTTCCGTGGGCTCCTGGCAGGCACGCCGGAGGTGCATGGCAGCGGTGATCCCTTTGAGACCTCGCGGCTCCCTCGGGGGCCCCAAACTCGCGCCATTGTCGCCACTTTCGTGGGCTGCTGGCAGGCACGGCGGAGGTGAAGGCAGCGGATATCCCTTTGAGACCTCGCGGCCCCCTCTGGGGATCCGAACTCGTGCATTGCCGCCACTTTTGTGGGCTCCTGGCAGGCACTGCGGAGTGCAGGGCAGCGGGGATTCTTTCGAGACCTCGCTGCTTCCTCGGGGGCTGCGAACTGCGCAACTATCGCAAGTTTCGTGGGCTCCTGGCAGGCACGCCAGAGGTGCATGGCAGCGGTGATCCCTTTGAGACCTCGCGGCTCCCTCGGGGGCCCCAAACTCGCGCCACTTTCGCCACTTTCTTGGGCTCCTGGCAGGCACACTGGAGGTAAGGAGCGGAGATCCCTTTGAAACCTCGCGGCTCCCTCGGGGGCTGCGAACTCGCGCCAGTGTCGACAATTTCGTGAGCTTCTGGGAGGCTCAGCGGTGGTGAGGGCAGCGGCGATTCTTTTGAGATCTCGCGGCTCTCTCGGGGACTGCGAACTCGCGCCACTGTCGACACTTTCGTGAGCTTCTCTGAGGCTCGGCGGTGGTGAGGGCAGCGGTGATTTTTTGAGACCTCGCGGCGCCCTGGGGGGCTGCGAACTCGCGCCACTCTCGCCATTTTCGTGGGCTCCTGGCAGGCACGCCGGAGGTGCATGGCAGCGGCGATTCTTTTGAGACCTCGCGGCTCTCTCGGGGGCTGCGAACTCGCGCCACTGTCGCCACCGTCGTGGCCTCCTCGAAGGCACGGCATAGTGCAGGGTCCCGCAGATCCAGGCGATGCCTCGCGCTACCAGGGGTGGGCTACGAAGTCGCGCTTCCGTTGCCACTTTGATGGGCTCCTGGGAAGGCACGGCGGAGTGGAGGGTAACGTTAGTCGTTTGAGACCTCGCGGCTGCGTCGGGGGCTGCGAACTGCGCCACGGTCGCCACCTTCGTGGGAGTCCAGGAAGCACGGCGGAGGGCAGGTCCGTGCAAACTTCGCATGTCTCGCGGTGTGCTTGTTTTGTATAGAGCTTTCAAAGGCATAGTCGTTTTGCGTGGAGAGTAGGTTGGATGCCTCCAGCAGTTTCACGGAAGTGGAGATGCTTGCGCATTGGGCACCGCCCGGGGCGGTGAGGTCCAGTTTGTGTTTGTGTAGGGCCGCATTCTGTTGGATCCCCCACGAACGCACGAGTTACAGTGGATTTCAGCTGGCGGGAGATTTCAGCTGGCGGGAGTACAGGATGGTGATCATCACATCAGTCTTCCTACGTGTCACATTCTTGAGGCTACGGCCTCCGCGCCATGCCCTAATGTGCACGGGCGGGCTGCATAGCGGAGCGCGAACGACTGTGACGTTCGTCGTCCGTTCGGCTCCACAGGCGCACGAAAGTGGCGACAGTTGCGCACTGGATGCCGCCCCTGCCGTACGCCCTTTAGGATGATGGTGCGCTTCAGCCTTCGAGCGGCATCGTGCTGGCATCTCGAACGTGGGCGACGCAGGCACGGCCGCCGATCGTGAATTCCGACAGTAATGTGTGTTTCCCGCCAGGCGAACTACGCGGGACAGAAGCGTACTGTGGTTCAGGTCCCTGCATGCAAGCTCGGCATTGGCCACCAGCTACACTTGGGGACTAAAACAACAGCTTTCTGAACTAGCGCTAAACCCTTCTCTGTTGTTTATGTTCTTGCCTTCTTGTGAGTGAAGGTAAGTCTCCTTACTGATTGCTTGCGCCTGGCCAGCCCCGACTCTACGCTTGTTTCAAGTGTAATTCTAAGGCTCCAGAACATACTTTGCGCTCTCGTTTCGCAGTCGCGTTCGCTTTCGACCTTGATGTAGAGCGACGTAAAGCGGCGGCTGGAAAGCACCTTGAATCCAGGACTGAGGGTTCTGAGAAGCCACCGCGTCGCCTATCTCGGTGTGGCCCTAGGGCTGACGGAGCATCTCGTGAGTCTCATGTCGCAAGACACGGGCTCGTCATTTCATAGCCTTCTAGATTTCATCATACAAAAGAGAGGGGCGAACGCACTCGCAGCAGACGCACACATGGTAGCAGCACGACATGTAGCAATGCTGCTGGTCCCGAGTGAGGAGCCGAGATCATTCCATCCGTGGACACGGGCCATGGTGGGTATGGCATCTTGGGAGGCGGAGTTTTCTCTTCGACAGAGTTTTGGCGTTTCGTCGTCATCGTCGATCTTTTCATTCTTCTTCTCTTCTGTCTCCTTCCTCTTACTCTTCCCCGGCGAGATCAGGCCCCCAAAGTGCAGGGTGAACCTCGGGCCATATGGGGGTTTCGCGTGACTTTTGCTTTGGTTGGGTCCTGGCCCTCACAGGCGCCCTGTTCCGTAATTTTCCGTAGCCGCAGGTAGTCCACGGATTGCTTTCCGGTCTCCCATATGGAGCTGGAGGAGATTAAGTCGGAGGATCGCGCCGTATGGCCGATGCATCGGCGACGCGGCGAGACTCGGAGCCCGATTTTGTCCATCCCGACGTCGCAGATGTATCGCCGATGCGCCGGCGATGCGGTGTCATCCTCCGACCCCATTTTGCCCTGGCCGCATGTGGGACGCTTCCATTTTGGCCACTGACGCCACCGTCACCATCGTCACCGCCGCCACCACTGGTCGTCATTGGCACACGCACGCGTGCTGCTGGAGCCACGTCCGCTGCCGGCGCAGTCCGTCACCTGCGGCGTCTCGGCTGCTTCCAAGGGGAGCCCCATCCGCGTCGCCCCGCCGCCCTGCGGTGCTTCGGGGACTCAGGCCGGACGCCACCCCCATGGCTGTCCCTCTTCCGCCGTCTCGTTCTCTTCCTCCTCCTCCTCCTCCCAGGCCCAGCCTCGCCTCCCCCCCTCCTGCCCTCTTCGTTTTCCCTCCTCGTCCGCGCTTATCTTTTCTTGTAGATAGCGCTCCCCCCTGCCGCACCACCTGGCGCGTCCGTAGGTCAGGCCAGGCGTTCTGCTGGAGACTTCCTGACAGTCTGCTTCGACGGTGCAGCCCTTCGCAGCGCCCAGGCACTGGCGAGGTCTCGTTCTGATCTGAGTAGGCCTGCGCTGCGCTGGGACCCCCAGGGCCTTCACACCCACCCGTCCGCTCCACTCCTGCGCTCCCTCTCCTCTCTCTTTCCCGCTGCCGCACTTCCTGCCGCCTCCTGCGTCCCTCCTCTGTCCCTGTGTACGTAGGGGTGGCAGAGATCGCCTCCCTCTGTAGAACCTCGCCCTATGAGACTGCACTCTGGGACCCAGTTGCCGCACCGAGTTGACGGTCCGAGTTGACGAACCGAATTGACGTACCGAGTTGACGTACCGATGCGAGTTGCCGAGTTGACGTGCTGATTGTCGTTGACGCGGCTGGTCTCGAAAGAGCTGCCCCCAGAGAAAGCCAATTCTGCCTCC